CGCTCGCGCCAGCAGCACGCCCAAAGCCCCGGCGGGTGCTGGCGCGGCCCCCGCTCCTTGCGCGCGCTACTCTTCGAGCGGTCGAGTCGCCAGAGTCCTCCTCCTCCTCCTCCTCCTCCTCCTCCTCCTCCTCCTCCTCCTGCTCCTCGAGAGAAACGCACGATGCTTTTTCGCTGGCAGTTCTTGTGCTTCTGCTGCCGACACTGTGTGGCGGCAATCGGCTAGGGCTGAGATGAGACGTGACAAAGTTTAATGAGAATTGTTCGTTGTCACGGTTGGAGGAGGAATGCAGGAAGTACGGTTTTCCTATGCCTGTTGCTCAGCTGTGCCTTTCTACGTACAGATATGGTCGCTTTATATGCATGGCCTCGGCGGTGGCTGGGCCCTTCTTTGCGTCCAGAGCTGTTGTGGCGGGCTGTTCCATGGCGACGAGTGTCGTTCGTGTGTACCGCCTGGGGCCGCTGAGTACTATGAAACTTCCGAGGGGCGTGTCCTTGGCTCAGTTCATAGACGATTATGGTCTGGACTCCACGGGCTCGGCTGAGGAAGTGACCCAGGGCATCAAAGAAGGAGCCACGCAGCTAGAGCATGCTCTGGTCAAGGAGTGCGGCAGCTCGATTTCCTTGACTAAGGCGGGTCAAGGCAACCTGGTGTGCTCTGACAGTGCTGCTGCTGGAGCCCTTCGTGCGTTCCCAGGCGAGCGTGCTGGACCGCTGTGTGACAGCGTGGTGGATCTTTGGACTGACTTTACGGCTGGGCGGTCTCGGAGACAGGCGTACGTCAAGAAAGCACTGCGTGAGTCCAAGTCCAAGGTTCGAATGCAGCATCTTAAGCAGTACGAGACCGATGTTGCATCACAGCAGCAATTCGGCCCCTGACGTTCGTCCTGGGCTCGGTTTAGTGAAGTGATGAAATTCGGGGTCCTTACGTGGGAAAAACATCACTTCACTAATCTGGGGCCCATGGGGCCTCAGTGGGCCCTGGGACCCAAAATTAGTGAAGTGATGGTTTTCGGGCCTCGGAAGCAGAAGTCCAAGAAGATTCGGGGCATGAAGAAGCAGTTGTCGGTTCATGCCAAAAAGGTCTGGGCGCCTGGGCCCCTCCCTGGGCTCCTGTATGGGGCCGAGGTTCACGGGAGCTCGGATGGTGAGCTGCACAAAATACGGCAGCAGGCGGGGTCCATCATGGGGCCGAGCTGCAAGGGCAGGTCTCTCACGAGCCTCCTCATCATAGAGAACGAGCCCACGTGGCTGGCGGCAGTTGCTCCTATTGTCTGGTGTGCGAAAGAGGTATGGTACGCACGTTCTAGAGCTTACCGCTGGTCGTTCACCTTTCGTGCGTTGCGGGAAGTCTGGGATGTTGTTTTTGCAGTCGGTCTGCACCGTCGTCTTGGCGCACTGTCGCTTGCCCTTTTTCGGCGATGTGGCTCTCTCTGAAACGTATCAGGTGGCAGTTGAAGGATTGGGTGACACTTTAAACGATTTCGGGGAGGTTGTTATTCTTACGGAGGTGAGCCCAGCCCTTTTGACATTGTTACTACGTCAGGCGGGGTGCTTTGAGAGTTAGAGCGCGAGGCAACTGCGAAGTCTAGCATTGGAGTTCCGAGACTATGCGATGACGCTGTTAAGACAAGGTTGAGATCCTCCCGTTTCTCCCCCGTCGGGTCGTGCCGCGATTCGAAGTATCGGTTGGGACGCCAGCTGGACGAAAGTCAGAGCACGTAGTCTCAGATATCAGCTGGAAGATGTAGCCTGCGCCTCGTGTGGGCAAGGGCCCGATACCGTCCTGCACCGCCTTTGACGCTGCCCGTGCCATGCTGACGTCAGGAATGAGATTGTGTCGCAAGAGGTGTGGGATCTGTACCACAGCATGGGCGTTGAGAATCCCCAGGACCTCCTCCTCACCCGAGGTCTGTTTCCGCACCCAGGTGATTACTGGCCGAGGCCTGACACGACGGGGAAGGTGGTCTGGCAGTGGGAGGAGGAGGAGCCGCAGCAGGAGGAGGAGCACATGATCATGGGGGAGGTGTTCATGGACGGGAGCTGCTTCAGAAATGACAGACCTGAGTTAAGTCGGGCAGGCTGGGGGCTTTCCATTTTCAGCGTTGACCAGAAACTCCTTGGGCGTGTTTTTGGCACGGTCTACGGGGCCCTCAACTAGACGGCCCAGGCGGCTGAGTTCTCGGCGTACGGGCGCCTTGGGCAGTTTTTACAAGATGAGGCCACCCTGTAGTCTGACTGCCAGATCGTGTGTGTACAGGCTCGGAGACCCCTGGGTGAACAAATGTCGTACCAGCGGCCATACGCTGGTCCGCTTGGCTTTGCGTTTCCTGCGCGGCAGTGGATTAAGTCAGTTCAGAAAGTAAAGGCTCACCTCTCTCTGGAGGAGGAAGGTGTGCCTGCCGAGGGGATGTTCCTGCACAAAGGGAATGTCCAGGCTGACCCGGCGGCCAAGGCTGGATCTCGTCTCCATGATTCTGCCGACCAGAACCTCGGTGAGGCTTTGCACAAGTCGACGTTGATCGTGCGCACTGTGTGTAAGTTGGCCGCAGCGTTGCCCTTTGAATGGCCGAAGCTTGATCTGAGCGGAGTGGAGCTCTGCCCCCCAGTCCGACAGAAGTCGGGAGGGAGGGCCAGACGCCACCATGCATGGAGCTTCACCTGTGGGCGCTGGAGGTGTACCATATGCATGAAGATCTCTCGGTTTAATTTCCATCTCCCAATCTCGGGCTGTACGGGCGAGGTGGATGGGTTAGATTTTGGTGCGATGGAGCGTCTAGGCCATTTTGTGGTCGGTTTACCGTGTTCTGACGGTGGGATGCTCCACGTGTGCACGCACTGTGCCTCGCACGTGGGTTCGGGCTCAGTCAAGAAGTCGAGCCTTCTGGGCAAATTTTCCAGAAGATGACTCCGCAGAAGAGATCTCTGTGGAACAGACTGCTGCGAGGCCATTACCCCAAGCACGGGACGTCTGTTACAGTAGACGCCGACGGGGTGATGGACATTTAATGCAGCGGTCAACCTCCAGTCATGGTTGAAGTTGTGGATGTTGAAAAAATCCTCATGCTCCTGCTCCTGCTCCTGCTCCTGCTCCTGCTCTGCTCCTCCTCCTCCTCCTGCGCCTCCCTCTCCTCCTCCTCCTCTTCCTCCTCCTCCTCCTCCTCCTCCTCCTCCTAATCCTCCTCCTCCTCCTACTTCTCCTCCTCCTCCTCCTCCTGATTATCCTCCTCCTCCTCCTCCTGCTCCCCTCCTCCTGCTCCTGCTCCTCCTCCTCCTCCTGCTCCTCCTCCTCTCCGCTCCTGCCTCCTGCTCCTCCCTCTCCTCCTGCTCCTCCAACTCCTCCTGCTCCTCCTCCTGCCTCCCTCTCTCCCCTCCTCCTCCTCCTCCTCCTCCTGCTCCTCCTCCTCCTCCCCCTCCTCCTCCTCCTCCTCCTCCTCCGCCTCCTGCTCCTCCTCCTCCTTTTCCTCGGGGCGCGGGCCCCGGCGGCTGCAGCGGTGCAGCGGCGCGAGGAGGGCCGGGCTGCCGCGAGGCGTGGGCCTCGCCGTGGTGCGCCGCGGGCGGCGACTGCCCGCGCGCCGTGCCCCGGTGCAGTTGTGACCCTCGTGGGGCTCTCGCTTCTCACCTCCCAGATGAAGCGGACAAGGAGGGGGAGGAGGAGGAGGATGGAGGGGGGAGGAGGAGGGGGGGGGAGGAGGAGGAAGGGGAGAAGGAGGAGGAGGAGGAGGAGGAGGAGAGGAGGAGGAGGAGGAGGGGGGGGGGGGGAGGAGGAAGAGGAGGAAGAGGAGGAGGAGGAGGAGGAGGAGGAGGAGGAGGAGGAGGAGGAAGGGGCAGGAGGAAGAAAAGGAGGAGGAGGAGGAGGAGGAGGAGGGGGAGGAGCGCGCGGGGAAAGGTGGGGGGCGGGGGTGGTAGGAGCAGGAGGGGAGATGGGAGAGGGAGTAAGACAAGCTAGGTGCGGTAGCGTCAAATCTGACGTCCAACCCCTCCCTCCCATCCCTTACCATGGCGTAGATCTTCTTTCTATTCGCACAATCGGATGTCGAGCAGGGCAATGATCCCAAGAGGGTACGCGATGGATTGAAAAGCATGGCGTAGAAGAGCAAGGCAGAGCATAGCATGTCATAGCATGGCGTGGCATTGCGTAGTGAAGCATTGCATCACAAAGCATAGCGACGGAAATCATGGTATGGCACAGCGGTGCACAACACAGCCTCAGTGCATGCCACCCGATGACTTGGAGGGCAAATGGCCCGTCTACGAGAGGACAGGGCCTGTCCAAAATGCCGACCCCATGTCCTCCGCAACCGTGCCTGCCCAATGTGGGCGCGTTCGAATGCCAAGTGCCGTCCGGAGGCGCGGGAACGAGGCCAGCGCTGCATCTGGAGCACGATGCCCGAAGCGCGGAAATGAGTGCGACGCTGCAGCGGGAGCACCATTTTGGAAGAACAAGAAACCACCATATTGCAAACATAACAATGGAAAAAAACAACTAATAAAATCCTGCGTGTTAGAAAAATACGCGGAGATGACGGGACACTCTCCAGAAAGAGTCAGGGGAGAGAGGAGAGTAGTATTCATATTGTGTAGCTGTGGAGCAGAAGGGAGATGAGGTGGAGGAGGAGACGAGGAGAATGAGGGGCCAAGAGGAGGGGGGACGAGGCCAAGTGGGGGGAGAAAAGAGGGACAGGAAAGTTGTCACGACCACCACCACCAGGTTTCAACCAATAAGCCCTGTTCGGGCCCAGGTCTTGCCATCGGCTCACGGACAGGCCAGGAGGAGTGGCATGTCTGTAAAGACCTGCAGAGGCCTGGTAGCGATGGATCCTCCAAGTGCGCATGTGCGAATGTGGAGGACAAATTAACTGTACATCCGATTCTCTCCAATTCGCTCCCTCCGCTCCGACTCCTTTTCCGCGTCGACGCGTGATAAGATCATGGGCGCCCATGGACGTCAACGCATGTTTGGAAATCATTCGATAACAGACTGGATATACTAATTACGTGCACGCGCACGAAAGTGTTGTCAGGCCTCTATAGCAAGACCCGGAAAACATAGATGA